AAGTTTTTTTTAGAAAAACGTCTTTGGACATTTTCAATTTTGAACGACTAGCCTCATTCATCAAACTAAAGAATGGGCAACAATACTCGAGAATGGGAAGTACAAACATACGATGGAGTCTTAAATTACCTTCAGAAAAATAGAAATTGTAAGAAATAAATCCACAAATCTTGGCGGCCTTGGCTGTAATTCTGTCAGCGTGTGGCGAGGGATCAAGATTATAAGTGTAGCTTAAGCCTTAATCCTTGATGGTGGTACATTCAGTCATAGGTGTGCCTTGACAGACCACTGGTTGGGGTAGCCTATCAGGTCCAAAACACATATAGCGACATTTAGACGGAGAGAATTCCGTTAGCCATTTTGAGCACCAAGCTGAGAGAGCAAGGAAGTTGGCATGGATTTGCTCTAGGCAATGAAGGCTCGTAGATTTATTGGAAGAATACACACATTTGAGATCATCGGCATGAATAAATGATTGAGAACGTTTAACTGCTACCGAGATATCATCTATGTAAAGCAAGAACGAAAGAGGACCTAAAACGGTGCCTTGTATGACACCACTTACAATAGGGCTCTCATTGGAAAATGAAGATCCCACTAAAACCTTTTGTTTGCGATTAGATAGGTATGACTTGATAAAGTTTATTAGGCGACTGCGAATTCTCAGAGCTTCTAATTTAACCAAGAGTCTTTTATGTGGCACTTTATCGAAGACTTTACTAAGATCAAAATAAATAACGACAACAGATAGTTGGTCTTAACGAAGAGAAGTAAGTTGATTGAGAAACGACGGATGACATGTTTCACAAGAGCGATCTGCCAAAAACCATGCTGGGAAGGGCAAATAACTTGATTGGCTATGCCAAAGTGGGTAATTTTAAGGCGCTAATTTATTCAATGGTTTTAGCCGACAAAGCCCCTCGAAACGTCAGCTTCCCTTCAAATTTACGACCCCTTCGCATGAAAGGGGCGAGTAGCAAGACGACGAAATATAAATCTGCTATGAACGTGGACAAATATAAGGTACATAGAATTGCAGAAGGCCGAGACATCTCAGGGGAGTGGAACAAATACCTACTCGAACTAACACAGAGACTGGACGTTAAAGGCTTGCACGTTTAGCTCTGCACAGGGAGGGCGCAGATGGGCGAACTAAGGCTAGGAATGAGGGAACGAATTAGCGCAGGACAACGTCACTACATCTAATTCCAAGCAGATATTTCCGCGTAAATCTCAGTCTGTGCTCCAGAAGCGATTCTCTGTCGTCCATCTCCTCACTGCCCATGTGGGCCTACCCAGTGCTACAGCAGAGAGGAGTCAAACTCAAATGCCTGACCGCAGTCATGCCTAAGCTGTATAGAATAGAATAGGTTTATTATAGCGCCCCTTGGGCACTGGCAGTCCCCTTTGAACAGAGGAAAAATCCTAAAACAATCTCATCCATTCTGACTGCACTTTGACTTCATTTGTTTTGGGTGTCTGTTTAGCCAATAGAGCGCGAATTGAGAGTCTGGATTAAGTTAAAAAAAACTTGAGTTCCAAGGAAAAATTATCGTAAAAGTTTAAAAAAAGAACGATATGTACAATATAAAAATTGATGTGTGCAGTTTGGTAGTTACTGGGGGGGGGGGAGGGGATGGAGGGCATGAATAATATGTCCTTCATGGAAATTGAAGAACTTTGATATCGGCTTGACCTTGAAAGCATTTTCCACTTGGGTAAATTTGGGTGTTTTGATGGAGTTGGAGGAGGGCAAGGCGTGATGTTTGGAAGAAGCTGAATTGACATAGACTATGGGTAGGTAAAACGCTGCCACCCATTTGTTTCATCCATCGCTGTTGCCCAAAACAAGAAAATGAGGCGGAGACTTTTCTCACTGTGTGTATATCTTCCGTTAGCAGAGAGGTATGGGTGATCGGGTGGAATAGGAGCCTAGAGTAGACCTCCTGAACCAGACGGGGATGGTCCGTATTGTGCCGTTGTAGACAAGAAGGAGAAAATTACACGCCACGTATCACTTGTGAAAAGAGGGGAAAAGAGACAAGGAGCCTCGGCTTTTAGTAATAACAGGTGACATACATCTGAATTCTGCATCGAACAGGAGAACGTTCCTTGTGGCTAACCGTAAGAACACCAAATGCGGTCTCCTGGAAAGAGAGATCGAGAAGGAGAGGTGACAAATGTAGAGCATCAATTTCTGAATGAAAAGTGAGTCGCGTTGGAAAGGGACCAATTATGAGCTCCTAGGTAAACCAGAAGGCCGTGTGCTACCTGCGTTCATTACCATGCATGTCGAAGAGCCGCAAAAATTGTGAACATATTTTGCTACTTATACTGCGGCGGTAGCGCAGGAAAGGTTAATTTTCGAGAGGAAACTTCAAATACAAGACTAGATGCACAACGAAATATTGAGTTGGGATTCACTAGGTTAGTCCTACAGCATCGGTGCGGTGACGAAGTCCTAGCCTTGAACCCAATCACAGGCATAAAACTTGACCCTTTTCTTAATTCCAACCAGAACCGAAGCCGATAATGCTGCAACGATGTGATTTTTGGCTTACAGACAACGTCGTTTAAGTGATTAATTAAAACTACCTCGGCTACTTTGGTAACAAAGGACGAAACGGCAGATTTGATAGGGGAGTGGAGACAAATATCGCCTGCCGTGGTGTGTTACCGCCGCAGACAAGGGAGTCTGGGGTGACCATTTCTGCACTGCTCATCAGATTGTGGACGTCGGGGTACCAAACTTCACCAATTTTTTCAGAGTTCACTCAAATTCATAGCAACCGGGGTCCATGCGAGGTCACAAAATGTAGGGAAGCGATAGCCCTGAAATCCTTGAAATTCTACTGTAATTTACGTGTTGCAAAAATCATCCAGATTGTTCGAACACGTATCCGTAATCCACATGGATTCTCTGGAAGACGTCGTTGTTGCAGCCGAAGGTTCGGATGATTTGGCGACGAAAAATGTGGCATTCTTGTTATCTTGGGGCAAGTGTTCAAGTCTTCATAGCCGGGGCATCGTAGTCAGTTTGTTCAAAGATCGAGAGCCATCGAATTTGTTGACTCTTTCTTGTCATTTAGAGGTACTGAAAGGGTAGTTCAACGCACTGAATCGTGACACGTAGGTGATGATGACTGTTAATGACTTAATAGCCCTTGAGACACCAATAAACACCGTGGATTTTGTGCATTTTCACTCCTTCATGCAACTGTATTGACCGGACGAAGAATTACCGAAAATACGTATTTGCCAACCTGACTTTTCAAGTGTAACATGGGAATATTTGCGGAACATAGATTATTACACTGTTGGTACACGTTCTTCGTCTATAGGAATGATCAAGATTACCACATTCGATACGACAGATCATCACGTGTGTCTGGGTGAAAATAATCCCATCATCGAGACCGGGCAAATCAAACATAATTATAGCAACAAAAAGTACAAGTATTAACGAAGCTCTACCTAACTCGCCTTCGTACCCTGGGGGACGGTGATGATCGCAGCCACTTACAACAAACGAAACCTCATGTTCCCGCCAAACCACGCCCATTTGAAGGGGAACGGAAATTAATGACGTCTTCTCCTGCATATGGCCGGCCAGTATGTGATGCCATGAAAGAACACCTACCGACTGCACATTAATGACCACGTGAAAGTTAATGTCTTCACGGTTACTTTACATACATGAAGTTGCAAAAAAACCTTGCGTCAGCATCCGATTAGCATTTTCAGGGGTGTCGAAGGTCGTGTGGTCGACAAGATAAAGATTCCCAATCAAAAGTCAGGGAAGACGGTTTGAGTTGGACAAACTTTACTGCTTGGAAAGCGTGTACACAAAGGCTGTGTGGGCAGTCGCCGCATGCGCGCTCCAAGCAAGCTGTTGTCTGCGTCCGCCCTCGAGGTGTTGTGTTAACGCGTGTGTGCGCCCTTCGTTGTCTCCACGTCGCCAGCCAATCAGAGTGGGGACAGCGGTGATTGGCTTCGAGCACTCGCGCGTCCCAGCAGCATCTCGACACGGAGTGTGAGGCGGACAGGACGGCAGCGTGACAAAGGCGGAGGGTGAGGAGACGCGAACCGCCACAGGGGAACCTCCTCTACAGTCTCTCTCAATGGGTACCTGTGAGGGTTCTCAAATGCTTACAAATAAAACGATTCCGCCGACTGATCCGCATCAAAGTAATTTTATCAGTCGTAAAGTACGTCCTTCGAGGCCACTTTCAACGCGAGCGGAGGCGGTTGTTGGGATATTATTAGCCGCTTACTCTGCCCCCAAATCGTTCTACTACCATTCAGCTGTAGCGATAATACGAAGGCAAATGATTGCTGGGGTACTGATGTACCACCTGTCGGCTGCTGATCCGTCTAAGAGCATCGTTTACACCCGAAGAAGACAACCGCCCCTTGCTGGTAGACTTGGCTTTACGCCCTGAGGTTCCAAAAGCCAATTTTCATGCAGGTAGACCAATTCCTGGCAGGCAAACGTCAATCACCATCGTCATAGTTAAGAAGAAAATACTGTTGTTTGTTTCGCCGAAGGACTAGTGCAATAAACGGCAGCGGTATAGAGCAGGACCCCACTTAACCGTCGGTTGACTGTGGATCGTGCCATACGTGATTTATGGTAAAGGGAGTTTTATGCGTGGGGCAGCACGCTAGACAGTAAGCCGACAAAATGAAAGAAAATACAAAAATTGCCTGAATTTATGCTGAAAGTATTATCCTATGCTATTGTACGACAGCGGAAATGAGAGTAGTAATATGACAAGAAACAAAAAGTAAATTTCACAAAATGACGAATTTTGAGTTAAGGTGTGAGGTCATGGGAAGTAATCGTTGTTGGCAGAGTAATTTCTGCAACAGCCTGCAAATGTGTGCAAAGATAAGACCCCATATGACACGATCCACGGTCTACTGACAGTTCAGTGGGCTCGTTCTCTATACTGTTGCCGCCCGAAGATTGCGGCTTGGCGGGGCGAAAGCAACCAAAATCAAAGGCAGCAAACATCTCTCAGCATAATTAAGCAGTTAAGGAGTTGCTGCAGTTGAGCCAAGTTAAGCGTCAAAAGACCAGGCGAGAAGGACTGGTTGCCGTTACTGGCGTCCACAAGGTCCTTCGCAGCCTCAAAGACCGTGCACACAGCATTCTCCAGCAGCTCATCTAGCACCTGGGTCACCAGGCCCTGCTTGATCTCCTCCTCGTAGGCGGCGTAGTTAATCCAAGTGGCTTCATCAGCACGCATCTCCAGTTCCAGCAGCTGGCCCAACCAGTTCTTCCGACTGAGTGTCCACTGCGTAAGCTTCGGCATGCGCTGGATTTGTGCGGCGGCGGCGGTGGTGGAGGCGACGGTTGGTGCTGACAAAGACGACTGTTGGAGGTTCAGGGCGAGGTCGCTCTGGAGGTGGGATGCGACCAGGGACGAGAGCCGCTCCAGGGAAGTTGGTCTGGAAGGCGGTGTGCAGTAAACAAGCATGAGAACAACGCCGGGTGCGAAAGGTGCCATGGCAAGCAGTCAACATTCCGCATTTAACAGAAGGCGAAGTTTTAAAGATAATCTGACATTAAGGCCAATTTTACACAGAGCATTTGAATTACGACATGGTTTTCCTCTTCGCCTATCCGCCACCAGCCTACCTCAACCGCTCTTTTCCTCAAGTACACGTTGGTGCCTGACGAAGCCTAATTCGTCCTCAAGAAACATCAGAGTTTCATGTTCTAATGAATCTGTGACTCGCCAGGCAGATATTGCGTGAGGCAGATAGGTAGTGGGACGGTTTCCTGCAGTACATGAATTGAAGGATGGACGCGTCTTCGTCCAGCATGTCGGTTTAGGATCACAGTACTGCGCTGGACAAAAGGGCCGGTGACAGTTCGGCCGTCGTGTTCAAGGGTGTTCATCTTGCGCTTCACAACAAGGTTAATCAGGCACAGCGGCTAGAAGGAGTGGACTTGCGCCGCACCTACCGCACTCTCCTCTCCCCACCTGGGCCCCGTGTCAAGACATAGTCAAAAAGACCGGGCGTTAAGGGAGGGCGCGGATGGCTGGCACGGTCGGACCCGCACCTCGGAGCTCTACTCCACACGCCCTGGTCCACAATAAACACGTCACCTGGATTTTAACCAATAACAGCACCACTACGGGCCAGAAAGATGAAGAGGATGACTTGCTGGCAATCATCAACACCTGTATACCCAGGGCGAAACGAAGGCGCATCTACCGGTAGGGAACGAGGTGACATAGAACTTCTAGCGCACACTGGACTGCGAGGGCCATGGTTTGCTGCAAAATGAGATAGCGGTTGCTCACAATCCTTAAGGCTTGGAATGGCGGGTAAAGCCATATTGGATGGCGGAAAACATCCGTAGTGTCGTAGTATCGTTTTGATTTGCATGCGTTTCGAAGGAAACTAATCTATCGGATTGACGTCCGGACACACCTGCATGATCCGCGACTACTCAGTTGCCAGTTCTGTGAATCCCGCTTAGTTCATTTTGTGCCCCAGCTGAAGAAGCTTCAATCAACCGCTCCCTATACGTCTTAAAAGTCGTGATTTGGGAGTTTACCAGCAGACGGAAGAGATCGGTCCGCATGGCGAGTATAGAGGAATGACGGGAGAAAAGAGAGAGTCAGGTGACAGTGCCTCCTTCTAGATGCCGCCTTCACAGCATTTACACCTATATGAGCTCCGACTCGTCCTTATAGAAGCCTCGTACATCTGGTGGGGGCCAGGTGGAGAGTGGTACACCTAGACGGGCAGTGCCCGCGTCCACCCCTGGGTCTTCTTGAGATTGTCTTTTCCATCGGGGCAGAGTGAATAAGAAAGTGGAAAACGCGATAGGCGCTGGGAAAGTCTGCCGCGAGTCGTCGACGCGCAGCCGGTGTCGCCACCTGCGACGGCCGAACTATCATCTATGGGTACCTTCTTTCCGAGGTACGTCGCATCACTCGATATCTGACGACCTGTTGCTCCGCTAACGCCGCTACCCCTGCCAGATTGTCTGTTTTGTGGCTTAAAACGGGTAAAATCGCTAAAAACTGCCGTGTTAATTGCCCGCCGGGCAACGGTCTAGAGAAGGACCCCAATTAACTGTCAGTAGACTGCGGATCGTGTTATAGGTGATCTATGGTAAAGGGCGTT